TCTGAGGAGTCTGATATATATATATATATATATATGATTCTAGTAACTGACCTTCCATTATACAGATTTCTAGTGGGGTGGCCTCGCGAGATCGGCATTCTGCTGGTGCAACACATGGCAACAGATATCTTTGACAAGGTTAGTTAACTTTACATCATGAATAGAACCCCTGCACAGAATCACCAGTGCACTCATCGTGGCTATGCACGACAATCAGTCTAGCCATCATGACGTCCTACGCACCGATAACTCAATTTCGGACTTCCTTTGACCAATCATGCAGATATGGAGTTGTGGATTTTGGCAAGAAAGAACCGGCCAAATTTCGCTCTTATTCGAAGCCCATCAGGAGTGCATACCCCTGGGCAAGCCGGACCCTAGACCACGGACGCCTAAGGTGTGAGGTAAGTTCATGCTGGACGCGTTTGAGTATCACATCCGGCCAGCTCTGGGACTCTCTCGGTGCATGGTTGTCATGCCTCCGAAGAGAGGAAAAGAGTTCAAAAACACTGCTAATGCTTCCAAGCCGACAGAGCAATCCGAAGCATAGAGTGGGCTCGAACTTCAGACCTTGTGGTAAGTAGCCTGACACCAGTGATCTACTTGAGCCCATATTCGAAGAGGACCACGACATTGTGGTAAGTAGCCTGACACCAGTGAGCTACTTGAGCCCATTTGATTACCCTTCATCAATGTGACTGATGTTCCATAAGCCTCGAACAATAAGCCAGTTTTTGATCCGACTGACCTACTCATAGGGGGTTCCGAACGAACGCAGGAACTTACAGGGAAACTGTGGTTAGTAATGGGTAGTCTTGCATACCATACATTCCACGCTCAAATGTCAATCCCAATAAGTGTTAAACTCCAGTCTATTCTAGTCTGTCTAGAATGACTGCCACAGGACGACAGTGATGTGAACATAGATACGAACTTGTAGAGATCAACGACAGACAGACTTTACAGAGAAGCGATGAAGCATCTAGATGAAAGTTCAAACAGTTTAAATTAGTCTTGGATTTCAGGGAAATCACGCATTCTAGAAAGTTGGGAGATTATCACTTGCGTCGAACACCAGTCTTGCTCCGTAGTGCAGAAATACACTAAACTTCGAATGTCTGGCGTTTATTTGATGAGCGGAACTCATTGTTTTGGAGTTAATACATTTATCATCGCTGCCAGACTGGTGCAGTGCTAAGAAGAAGACTCAGGGTGATGTTTTGAGCTTGCTTAGTTATCTGTTATCGATGACTGACTGGGAACCAGTGTTTTGTTTTGAGATTGTAGTACTTGAGCTGAGTTGACATTGGCTGATGAGGCAATCAGGTTCAATTTTTTACTGGTACAAATCGCCAAGTCCATTGAGAAGCCCAACCCATCCAACTCATGCTGCGTCATGCAAGATTCATGCTGAGCCAGCTTGTTCATTTTTACAAAAGAGCTGTCACCTGAGAAGTGTATCGTCGCCATCTGGGACGCGACCCAATCAAGATTCATGAAGGCATGATTTAGTGATTACAGAGTCATGTCACACAAGCTACGGTAGATTTGCGAATCTGATGCACATCTAACAAGCTGATCCCACATCACACTCGATTTTTGTGTTGCAATCGACTTACTCGGGATAATCAAAACGATTCCGTCACATTAAGCATACGTTCTCCACAAGGTGAGTAGAAGTTGAAAAAGCATGTTCAAGTGCACCAACCACAGATATACACAAGTATCCCCATCATACCCTCCACCGTCAAAGAGTGCGGTAATCCTCTTAGCTGAGGTGTTGTTAACTTCTCAGAAACGTTCGAAGCAATGGCTTTTGTCAGTTTTCTACAGGGTTTCCCATAGAGGAGAACGTCAGTAACCCAGATAAGTACCAAGCTTCAGCAAGAAATTTAACCACCAACCAGGAATTCCTATTGTTAGGAAGGAATCCACGCGGATCCCACTATACCGCACGTCTTTAGGCGCTGCTACGGCCGAGAAGCCCGGCCCGCTCGACGTCGGCCCAAAATTCGGGACGCTTGCCGGTCCGGCATCAAGACGAGATCTGATCGGTCAACAATCTGGACCCAACAGCCAATCATGACCCAGTATTGGCCAAATGCCGGTTGCCAATGGCGCATCCAGAACGCGTCAGAAATTCCAGAAAGTTATAACCGCTTACGCTGTATATACGAAGCGCTGTACAACTGTTCTTGACTTCGTTTTGGGCGTTAATTGACCTTGTGCACCTTTGGCGGTTGTTTTGGCGTGAACGCTAGCTTGGGAGGCTCAGACCGAGAACTAAGCTGAGGAAAATACCGTTATTATACCTATCCCCCGGGAGATCAACCCAGATCCCCAGAAGGTACTTCCATTTTCCTGAGTGATTCTACTCTCATAGAAAGGTCGTGAACCTACCTATCGTCGAGAAGAGTATTTCTTGCCCACTGTATTGGTGACTACACTTGCACACAACCCTCCAAGTCCGGTCAACAAGAGAGTGGTCGTACACATTCACTATAGAGTTGTTCTATCCACTGCGGTCGAGCAACGGCCTAAGCGTCAGTACAATAGCATTAGAGACAAGATAGCACACACCAACTCGCAGTTGTGTCGTAGTTGACCAACTAGAAACTACATGCATTCAGAGTGCTTTTTGTGAAATCTGAACTGACAGCGCACTATGATTCAGATCCGTAGTAGTTGCTTTCTCTGATTTGCTGAGAATTGCCAGTCATTCAAGACGTCACCCAGCAGCATAATTTATTCGTTGTTGGCATCACACAAAAAAATCAGAAAAACAGTGTTCGTTTATACACGAGTCACACTGTTGAGCTGATCAGCAGTGAAACACTGTGAAATGTAGACAGCCCTCTAGATTCTCATTTAAAAACCCTTTCACTGGTCAGTTGATCAGTTTTTGGCTAAGGGGCGTTCAACAGATCAGCCCCACCGGGGACAAGAGTCACCGATATGACCCAACGTTCCAAGACGCCACCGTACGCCTGCGATGAGCGTGAAGTAGAATTTCGAGAAGACTACACATTGATTACAAGGTCAGATAAAGTGCTTGACTTAACTGAAAGTCGGATTTTCATAAAGGAAACTACTCACAAGGTTGCTGAAAAATCTTCGACAGCCCACGACCGGTTTCGCCCTTCTTGGGGCTCATCAGGTAGGCGCAGTCCCCGAGTTTCCGTCAACCTTATGATCTACTTGAACCCAAGTTGCACTGTTTTCGAGAAATACACTCATTTGCAAATCAATTTGGTTTTCACGAGAGACTCAACTGAATCTCTCGTTAATGATGTTCTACAACTGAAAGTGCTGCACACAGGCCACCTCATGTTTAAGGAAACTACTCACAAGGTTGCGGAAAACCTTGTGAGTAATTTCCTTCATGAAAATATACTGCGATATCTCGCATATCGTACCAACAACTGAATCATGAGGCGGCCTGCGTGCAGCACATTCAGTCGTAGAATATCATAAACGAGAGATTCAGTTGAGTCTCTCGTGAAAACCAAATTGATTTGAAAATGAGTGTATTTCTGGGAGTCGTCCATCTGACGAGTTCAGATGAGGATGAAAAGCTCCCAATTACACGTATACTAATTCTGGCGGCTCCTTTGATACTGAGCAGACACTTGACACGCCCGTGAAGACCCACGTTGAACTTGTATACTACATCAGGGAGGTACTTTGGTCGACTTATTGAGATGGTCTTCTCGAAGGCGAACAAACGCCATGAATCCGAACGAGATGTGCATGGGCAAATTTTAAAAAAAACTTTGAAACCTGGTGGACCAAATTGAAAGAACACTTCAAACTCAAAGCTGGGAGCAGAGCACCACCCCTGGAAAATGCGGAACCTGTCTTTCTCCAGCTCTCCAGCCACTAGTATGCTTTTTTTCGATCTAGCTGTAAACCTATTACTGAATTACAGTGATTCCATCTGGTACAGCTTTGTTCACCGTGGATAAGGAGGATTCACGGTCACGCGTTGGAGGCGACTGCCTAGCCAGTTGATTGAGGTCATATGGCGTTGTTTGTTGGGTACGGCAGGGAAGGAGAGAGGTATACAATAAAGGTAACAGCTGTGATGTAGGATCATCAATGGCAGCCCTTTTTGTCGGATATCTTCCGCACGCAACGCTCATGTGTCTCGGATCCAGAGTTGGGCAGACCGAACCGCAGTATAGCACACGTAGTGCACAAATTCAGGTCATGATCGGCGTACACTCGGTCGGGACAAAACCAGTTTGATTCCCGCGAAATTGACTCTCCAGATGATACAGAATAATCACTAGACCGATACCAAGGTGGTTTGCGCACGACGCTCTTACACCCTTTTTGAATNAGAATCACCAAAGAAAGCGGTCCATTCCGTCGGTATTCAAAGAATAAAGTCATCAACTCAGGCGCAAGGGATTCGCAGTTCTCCTTGAAGAATCCAACCGGTCTTAACCATGTGCTTTCTTCGACTTCCGAGTATTATCCAACATGTCAAAACTGCCTACCGAGCTTCACCAAGGCACAAACAGTGAGAAAAACACGAGTGAACGGATTTGGAATAACAGGAAGCTGTGTATGAGACAACAGATGACACCAGGTCATTGGCCTAATAACTCACACTTTGAACTGGGGCAAAATAAGAACATTCTATTTCGGGCTAGATGGACAAAGTGAGAATAGCATTCCACGGGCTGTGGCGATTACTGTCTGGGATGAAGGAACAATTTTAGGAGAAGTCTGCAAACTGTTATGCCTGTCTCGTCGATTCGCGATTACAATCTTCGCTGCCTGTTTCTGTAAGAAACTATCCTACTCCAGAGAATGTCAAATACCTCAGTAATGTACTACTCATAAGGTTGCTGAAAACCCGTCAATGTCAAATACCTCTTTTCACCAAGGTATGACTCCTTGTCTGAGGCTACTGTATTCGGGACCGACCAAAAAAGCCTCCCAAGATAACCAATAACAAGCAGCAAATTCAAATTCGGTCAATTCATTGGGGAGGCGCATAAGAGGGTGAGGGAAAACAGCCGGTCATAGGGGGTAGAGAGACGGTGCGCAAGAGCATTCGTGTGTGTGTGTGTAACAAAATATAGCGCTGTGTTCACCATGGTCAGTTAACTACAAAACGAATTAGTAGCAATAATAACGATGCGAATAAAGAAGAAAAACAAGTGAAGGAACGGTGGTGGCGCTGGGACACAAAACAAGGCGACAGGACGGGCGCGCAGGATGTGTCGAAGCACACAGACACACACACACACAGGTAGCAATGAATCTCGCGAGGTCAAAGAAAGTGGCAAAACGCATTGGTGTGCGCGCAAAAGCACAAATAAAATGGCCACAATGCCGCTGTCCTTGTCACACAACAGATCGAGAAGGGGCTCGAGAGAAAATAGTACAAGGAGCGTTGGCAGTCATAGGCATAGGCACAAAAAGCAGGCTGAAATATTAAGGCGCGCAGTGTGACTTTGAAACGGGGTGGAGGCGTCAAAATCACGATGACATCACAGAAGAAAAGTGAACAATTGGCGCTTTGTGACCGTGGGGGTGTGCGCAGGAGAAAAATGCCACTTTGCACCGTGCTCCAAGAGTGGGACGAGTTACGGTTGAGAAGTGGATTAAAAAGTTGATGTAGAGATGATTTTACAATGACAAAAGGGAGAAAGCATTATCCTACAACACTGACTGAGGTGGGGGGAAGGGGTGCACCGTTGTTGCATCTATCAGAAGGAATATGAAATAAGATCCAAAGAATAGTGCGGTCCGGTTTGTGGCACGCTGAGAAAAAACATAATCATAAGGAATGAAAGACCCTGTTAGACGACGAGCTCCCACGTGGTAGACCAGTTGACGGGGTGACTAGTGGGCAAATAGGTGAACTAGGCTAGTGAATGAAAGATGAGCTAAGTCAGAGAGAAGTCGAGGGCGGAGCGTATCGATCGATCGAAACAACTGTGATAGGAGACATGGATAAGGAAATCACGGGGAATAAAATATACAGGTGGCTGTACAGTCTCATAGAGTGGATAAAAAATAAGACAAAGGTGGTGGATAAATTGTTCCTACAATAGAACATGAATGAGTGAATTAACCGCAGTGACTGAGAGTGAAAGGGGTGGTGGAAACTAAATGCGATGACGGTATCGTAGAGGACGGTTTCCCACCACCATCTTTAGCAGGACCACCAGTGATTGGATTGGTAGGTGATGTGGACGACCTAATCATACCGGTTGTAAGTCGGCGATGAAGATCAGCCATAAAACTAGTCACTCGATCGGTGGATTCACCAAAACGGTGATTGGAGGTCATGGGATCGGAAAACTCTACTCCTGTATGTTGCTCATGTCGTGGTTGTGGTCTGAGTAAGGGTGGACCGGAAAGATTGTGGCCACTGTCTGTTTCCAAACCTATGATGGGAGAATATCGATCGGATTCAGACGGAGTCAGCCTGGGGAGCACGTTACCGCCAGCAGATTGTCTGCCGGTCGTCTGACAGCTGAGCACCGGAATTGAACCTTCATGGTGTCCAAAAGATGCAGCCTGAAGATTTGGAACATAAGATGTCCAAAGATCCGCATCATTAGCGCTCAGTCGTCGTTGATCTGTTGAAGTTGGTTGGGTGCCACGTTGAGTCGAGGTGACGGAGGTCATTGTTGACCGATGCGCCATAGATGTCTGGCCGAACATACTAGTCGCAGTAGGAGTGCCGTCGAGAGTGTTCAGTGATGTAGCGGCAGCGGCAGCAGTAGTGGCCGAAGAGGTGCACGTAGGTAACCCCGAAAGCGAAGGAGGTGGTGTGGATGAGTGATATTCGGATTCTTCGAATTCGGCGTCAGTCATAAACCGGATACACTTCTTCTTGCGCCTGAAACACACAGAGTCAGAAAATGGTGACGAGTGTGAGAATTTCAACGCAAGATGAGTACAGGTTATCAGCAATACGGTTAGGCTAAATTTTGTGTCGAATCCATCCATTCAACCCGTTAGAACCCATGAAATTAGATAATGTCAAGACATACATCAGGACATACCTGGAGACCGTGGTGGATAACAAAGACAACTTTTGAAAATACCGTTTTGCAAACAACACCAATCAAGGTCAAATTCAACATCTCATTGATGACGAGGAAAAATTCAAACGTATTATCGGATTGCATTCGAATCAAGGGAGATCGCGCATTGGTTTCCCGAGGAACCTAAGTTTACCACTTCATCGCAGCAAACCTGTTACGCGATCATAAACCTAAGTACGGAAAATAAAAAAATTCAAATGCAGCAGGTAAAACAGTGAAGGATAGAAATGTGGCGACTGACTTCAGGGATATGGAAAACGTCACAACATAGTCAACAAGTTGGTATTAGAGTCCCAACACAATTCCATCTTTGGTGTGCGGAGATAATATAGTGAACAATTCACAGTATACCATATAGTATGCACACCCGTCCCACCAAACAAGGACCTCCCGAGCAGTCTCTATTGAGAGGTTTAAGGCAAACACACAGATAAGATGCCATGACCGGTGAATACACGTTAGGTTCACGAATTTCTATGGGGATTAAAGTTCGAAACCAGAGGTCGAAGACTAAGTCGTTGGCTACTGGTGGCTGATAAGCGGTGTGACTGATTCAAACTGGGGCAGAATATAGCATTACTCATCGTTCAGTTACATTATTCACATCGGGATGTCACTTGTTGCCCGGTTCCTCGAGCGCGGACCTATGAGATCGGAAGCTTGGGCGAGCTATTGCTTTCTAAGCAGTTTACTTCTAGTTCGGTGGTACCATGAGGAGATATTCAAACACTCATCGCGGTTTTATCCTGAAGGGGTGAGTGACGCCATACTATCCAAAAGCGTATTACTTGAAATGCTGTTCGAATCTTCCTGGAGCTTCACGAGATGCATATCGCTGATGAGTTTCAACTGTACAGAGACAGACTTAGTTGAAGGGTGGAATCCCTATTAATATTGAAGAAACTCCGCGTACTAGTGACCTGTTCTTGATTGATAAACTATTTATTAACTCAATGGCACATAACGAGGCGAGATGGCCCAAGGGGTTAGATCGCGAATCTACTGACCGGAAGGTCCGTGGTTCGAATCCGACCTTTCCCTTGTCTAGGCCTGGGCGACCTGGCAGCATCCCAGCCCTCGTGCTTCCTCCGGGTGGCATGGCAGCTAGGCACCGGAAGGGTGTTACAGCTGAACGATTATTTTTACTATTACCATAACGAGATTTCAAGTAAGTCATGGTTGTACGGCAGTGAAGCATTGGTGTAGTCATGGTTGTACGGCAGTGAAGCATTGGTGTTGAACACTGATGTCATGCTGTTGATGATGATGATGATGATGATGATGATGATGACCATAACGAGACCGTTGTTCTTCTTCTGTCAAAGACGTTCGCGATGGTTCCACCAATCTGGTCAACTAACAAAACGTAAACAGGCTGCGCAACGCCGATTTACCAGTGTTCCCAACCTCAAAAGAATATCACTTTGCGTAGTTGTGTGTACGTCAATGCATTCGCTACAAAAAAAGTAACGACAGTTAGGTGATTGGCATGCAACACACAAGGTTCCGTTCTCACATGCGAGATTGCAAATAGGGTGATGATGTGATCAGGCGCTAAGTACGTTCACTCTGCTGATTAGAATGAAACGTGTTGAACAATTTATGTCCGCAATAATGCATTCTGAATAAATTTAGTCGGCCAATTCAGCTCACAGTATTCTATCACATAAGAATAATTATTATTCGATGGGAAGTGGCACAAATGGAGCAGCTGTGCTTGAACAGAACTAAATGAATGCACGGCAGTGGGACCCAAGAACCCAGTTCGTTTACTACAGTGGAGTTTGTGGTGTACTTGGCGGAAAAAAAACCCCATTGCAACATCCATCATGTCACTAGCTATCCGACATACGTCACCACAGCTACGGCTCTAGGCTCCGTACGTTGCATGAGTCAGTTTTTTTTTCAGACACGGTTATGTCACAGGCTGTGGACGGATGAAACTGGCGAATCGAATACACGTGTTCATGAGTATCGTATCAACCGCAGCCAAACAAGGCCGTGTATACTTAACAGTAGCTACCAGTTGGGCGTAGAGAGGTTGGTCATGTGGTGTGTCCTTTCGTTATCACCGAGTCCGCTGTGAAAACTGACAGCCGTTCGGAGAAATAGTTTGGCTGTTGGTTAGAAATCGGAATGTTTTAGAGACAACAGTTCAAGTTTAACCACGTTTATACCAAATACTGCCATTTTCTCACTAATTTGGTTCAGACGGGAGACCCCATTGAATTCTGCTGAATTTCGCGTTTACGGTTGCCTTAATCGGTAATGTGTTGAAATATTGGTAGCTCGGGTGAATTTATTAGCTGTTGACCTGTTCGTCGAGCTTGTCAATTGGCTTTGAACCGTTTTGTCACCCCACCAGGAACATACTTAATACGGTTGGGTGCACACTGATGATGTCTCCTCGTATGGTGACGAAACGGTTGCCTTAATCAACTGAAAGTGCCGCATGGGCCCGCATGAGGCTCCAGTTGGAACGATACTCGATTTATCGCGGTACATTTTCATAAAAGAAACTATTCATAAGATTGTTGAAAACTCTTCGACAGCCCAAATCGGTTTCGCTCTTCTTGGGGCTCACCAGATAAGCGTAGTCAACGAAGTTCCATAAAGCGTCTGTTCTAATTGAACCCAAACTGTACGAAATTCGCCGAACACTCAGTTGCACATTAATTTGATTCTGACGGGGGCCCCAGCTAAAACTTCAGCTGAATCGCGCATTTATGATTATATTCTTCAACTATATATTATGCTTGAAGCTGTCCCATGTTTCGACAGCTGTCGAAGCAGCTTTGACAATCTTATGAGTAGTATGTTGTGTCTAGGTAGGAGCCAAACCTGATTCGAATTCAGCGGCTGTACAAATCAGTCGGGGAACACTTAGTCCTGAGATTAATAGTCTAGAACTGTCAATCGACCTCTCTACACTCAACTGATGGGTCGAAATGGGGAAGGAAAACCCCATGTGACAGAGCTTTTACGGCTCTGGTCACACACTTTCCTCATTTGAATCGCCTGTGCCAGTCCAAATAAATAAGATTTGGAAACTGTCTGTCTAAGTGGATTTTTACGCGGCAAAGATAGTTCAAAAAGCATGGTTGCTTAGATGTTGTATAACGCTGGTCCTCTATACGCGGATCACGACACGTTTTGCGCTGTCACCATATATTCTTCACCTCAAAACTGTTTTTACGAAGCGAACGACATAAGAGTGCCTGACAAGTTTTCCTGGAAATTAGGTTTCGAGACAAGAAATGAAACAACTCGACGTTTGATGACGAACTCTCTTGGGTGTTCGTCCCAGCAAGAGCAATGCGACTGGTTCGCATCACATGGTTGACTCGACCATCGATATACAGAGATGATCTCTAGTTATTCGTTTAGTTAATGGGCTCTGTACAAGGAAAGAACATCGGTCTTGGTAAGACCTTTGCAATTGTACGGTACAGTATCGAAACGGAAACTAGTCAACCAAGTTTGTAATGCTTTGGCAATAAGTAAACATTAAAAACAGCTTACCTAAGATCTATAAGTAAGCATATTGAATCGCGGATTAAAACACATTGCTGCCAATGGTGATCCCAAACAGCGAAGGAACTCTTCCCTCGAAACATCGTAGTAGGCTCTACATTTACCAACATTGACACTCAGCCGTGTACGGAATGATGATCTGCTTGCTATTCATAGTTTTCCATCTACTCACTAAATTCAACTAACGCATTAGAAGTCCCCCACAACAGAATATCATAGAGGACAGTGAAAGTGGCCCCTTTTATGAGGGATCGTACAACAAATCATGATTAACGAGGAACATTGTTGGGAACCAACTGGAAAATGTTTGGGACCGATTGGGAAGTCATCGTTTCAGAGAGGTTTGGTAAACAGTCGGTGGATTTATTGCTGGGCAACGTTTCGCTTTTGACACAAAAGCTTCGTCAGGCCAAGTGAGTAAGTAGATTGATTGGGTTTTAGGGCAGTTAGGGAACCCATTCCGTGAGATTTCTTATGACTAGCCGACTTGATCAGCGCTGGGTGTTCACGGATTGATTCCCTGACAGCCTTAAAACCCAATCAACCTACTTACTTACTCACTTGGCCTGACGAATCTTTTGTGTCAAAAGCGAAACGTTGCCCAGCAATAAATCCACTGATTGTTTATCGAACCTCTCTGAAACAATGTTGGGAACCCTTAAAATCACTACAATCGAAGGGATTCCAGCTGGTGGATACGACGAACACTGTTCGTGTGATGTAAACAAAATCAGAGCAGTGCTGGCGTTGGGTATAGCAAGCTAAGAGGAACGATGACCTGAAACGTTTGAGAACGTCTGCTGATATGCTTGGGGCGCCCATGTAGTAATACACCGTCTGCTCAGCTAGAGTAGAGTTAATAGCGGATTAAAAGTACACTCGCCACTGGTCGATTCTTTTATGGCCTAAAAGTCCCCGATTAAATAAAGCCGCGTCCTGCTGGTGGTGGAGACCAAGGGTGTGCGCCAACCAGATGAGGCAAGCGAAATAGCTCAATTTGACAGCCGAGCAGCGGTTTGAGTGACAGAAAACAGTGGATCTGAATCTATGTCACTTGATTTTTTTGGTATTCCTGGACTGTAGACCAACTAGTAATAAGGGACTAGATGTGGGGGATGGAACCACAACAACGCGGCATACAAATATGCATGGTCAAGATGGGCCTCAGTTACCGAACATGCACGGTCGCTCATGGAAATGCCTCTGATTGTGGTAATGTGTATGCAGTACGCTCGGACACGTGGTTCTCATGACACAATTATACCAATCGGTAAGTTCGTTTACATGTTGACCACGGTTATCGGAAGCGAGAAACACAAAAACAACTACTGTCGGTTCGTGGTTGCGGGCGGGGTGGTCATTATGATCTTGCTCTGGATCGTGAGAACATGAAGAGTATGAAAACTGATTGTTTACTTAAACAGGGCCATAGATATTCACAAGTTAGGCACTTGGCAAGCCCTACGCTGGAGCAATCTACCGGATGGACGTCTCAGTGGCACAGCAACCAGCGGTCGGTATCATACATGGGATGATCAATGTGTTACATTCGGAATCTTAGTTTACGTAGTTCGCATATGAAATAGGTTCTCTCAAGATCGAAACCTGTTAGGTTGCATCATAGACGTCATAGTTCCAACAGCAAACCAGTCTTCGGAGCAATTTCGGGCTGTGAACCACAGATTTTACACCTGAACAGTTGAACACGAGGCTTGTGTGGATTGATCAGGACACATAAACATGATCTGTTTTGTCTAGCCACTACAATCAGGCCATAGCAGACCTTCATACAGTGGTAAGAGGGGCGCAGTCACCTAAAAGGACAAATGGAGACTTTACTCGGTACGTTCAGAGGCTATATGGAACAACTTGGTCCCCGTATGGGATATGGAACCCGTCACTGAAGCAGAGGATGGCATTTGTGCAAATCTGAGGACCAATCGTGATTGTTGAGCAGCGTCTTGCCTAGACATATCTACGATCATCACAGTATAATCACCTTAAAGTAGAGAAAGCCAATTCGAAGGCAATTAGCTCCAGCTCATGAGATAATGCTATGTCAAATGTGTTTTCAAATAAGAGAACTTAAACGGGTCTGTAAGTTCTTGAAGGAAACTACTCACAAGGTTGCTGAAAACTCTTCGACAGACCACGACCGGTTTCGCCCTTCTTGGGGCTCATCAGGTAGGCGCAGTCCCCGAGTTTCCGTCAACCTTATGATCTACTTGAATCATGAGGCGGCCTGTGTGCAGCACATTCATAAACGAGAGATCCAGTTGAGTTTCTCGTGAAGTCCAAATTGATTTGCAAATGAGTGTATTTTTCGGGTCCGTAAGTTGTTCATTCTGTGGGTGCGACCTAGTTACTCATAAAGGTTCCGTTCAACAAAACGAACGACGGTCTCCGTGACTTCATTACAAACAATCATAACCCGTTACATTTGCCAGTGGAAATTAAGAGGCCTGAGAAGACATCCAGAGAAGACTATGTAACCGAGTGGTGGTGGGCTGGGATGATCAGAACATGCTTCTCAAATATTTTAAAATGATAGCATAAAAATAACTAATGATAATCGTTCGGAGTAACACTCTCACTCGAAGGAAGCACGGAGGTCGGTATACTGTCAGGTTGCCCACGTCTAGACAGTGGCAGTCGGGATGCTGAGGTTGGGTTCGAACCACGGACCTCCCGGTCAATAAATTCGCAGATCGGTGACAAAATAGATTTGGCTTAAAATTCGGGATGGACAAATCATCAACCACGTCTTAGGAGGGAAGGGAGTGACTGATTATCGCTCAGGGACTCTGATCAAGCTGCATTACACCAACCTTAAGGTGCTTGCAATTGGTTGAACTCTAGTGACCTATCGAAGCCGCCACAAATGTGTGCGCACAAAAGACCTTGAGATAACTGAATTGCTTACTGGGGAAGCCTTAATTAATTAACGTGTTTACTGTAAGGCGAATTCATGTGTGTAGGCTGACGAATTTTATTTATTGCGGCCAATGAGATACAGTTGAGATGTTCAGCAAGCAACATTATTTCTTTCGCTGGGCTGTTTAGACCAACAATACCGCTGTTTCGTCTTGATCGGAAACTACTAATATTGTTGTTGTGATGAGTTTTCATGACACCTCGAATCATATGAGTGTAAGATGACACTCGGGCACGGTAAATCGACTTGTGGAATATCTGGTTAGCGTTGCCGCAGGTAGAATTTAAATTCCCTCGAATGCACTGTACGGATATCACGATGACAACGAATACATACCTGCACGGTTTGCACCATCGATGCTGATGTTCCAGGCCGAATCGAGCTCGACACTTCTTCGCACTCCCCAAGTCAGACAAATTTGTGGATCCTGGCAGTGCGGACTGAGAACCTCGCAAGTGATCATCCGTCTGGTCCATAACCGAGCCGTAGTCACCGGAAAGCGAGCTCGATTTATTGATCACGTGGCGTTGTCCAGATTGAGCGGCTGCAAGCGCGGCCATCCTTCGCTTCTTTTTTCGACGAGAGTGCATGGCATAGTTGTCGCGAGCGGACCAACCAGGAAAAAGCTAACCGGTTTGGGGAAAATAAACACAAAGGGGTTAGCAGCGCGCTCCGATTCAGTACAACGTATGTGAAGGACATTGGCAACACATGAAATGTGAGTGTATTTTAAGCGCAGTTATGCGTTGCGATTGAGATCCGTCAGGTGGAGAGAGAATCAATCAATTGACCCTTGGACCACATGATTTACGTTGTTGTTTTTAGGACCGCGAGAGTGGATGTAGCAGAGACTTCTAATATGCGAAATTTGTCCAATAACCAGGCAGATGTCTGCTTGCTGGTGTAGTGGACAAGTCTAACTCCCTTGGTCGTATTTGGCGTTCGCATGGAAACTGTAACCTGTCTACTCAACGAATATGAGAAACCTAGATCAACAAGTGTCGACATTATTTCGTCAAGCATGTGGATTCAATACATCACGCCACATCTCCCGTAACGCGGACAACAATAAAATTATGCTGCAACTTCCTGGTGCGAATGTCTTCCTTCACAGGATTGGCGGACCCATGAAACGGACACACAATAGACAGACAGTGTACACCAGTAGACACAGTAGACATTTACTCTAACAACCTTCGCACTTGGGACTGCTCCTCAGGTACGATTGTGCAAGATGTAGACTGCCTGTCCATTCGCGAGACCGTATTCACTCGGCTTTTTCTACGTCACAGCAACAGTCTCCTACATAGTGGTTGAGTTTTCACAAATCGATTACAGTAGACGAACAAATCAACGACTATCCATAGAACCTTTGCTTTCTGAATTTCCACGAAAGCATACGAATCTACCTAAAGTTGGAGTTTGGAAACTTTAACTAGTACGGCAAACTCCATTGACACATTGGTAGACTGCGTCTGGCCAATTAACTGTGGCAGGTAGATCGGACGCAATCAAACAATCCTGGTGATATTAGTCACCAAAAAGTACCCAGAATTTGCCGTATTTTTGGCGAATAAACAACGCATCAACATACAATGTCTGAAAAGCAGAATACCATTCCCAAACGGTTTTAGTTATCCTGCAATCCGAACATCCGGCTTGTTGAGACTGACCCATTAGGAGTAATACTTGCACTCTGAGTGAAACCCTTCGGAACTTCAAGTGTTTTCCGTTTTATCGAAAGTGAAGTTTCACTCTGTCAGTATAGTCAAACTATGGTGAAATGCGCACAAGCATTTTACAGCTATTGCCAACCTTCCTTCAACTCACGTGACCTGGTGCTTTGTGGAATCTTGAGTGAGTAACGAATGATTCCTTTCTGAGTGCGATATTGAGACATTTGCACCCACCACCAAATAAATAGCCAAACTGATACAGAAAACCGACCGAAACGCTTGGAGTTGTGTATTCACATGTCTGGATTTCCGAGGTCTAGTGAAAACGCCTAGCCCAATCCAGCAACGAGGACTGCGAAATTATCATCATTGTGAATCCCGATGTCCTGGCGACAACAGCTTTCAAGACTGCATTTTGACATGTGACCAGTATTGCTTTGCAAACGAAACGCTAGGCGGCGGAATTCTGACGCCATCCAACCAACAGAGACAGACGGGTAGAATCAACGGATTAGACACCGCGAGCTGCGTTTCGTCCTTACTAACCTTGACAGTTGCTGGTTCTGTCAAAGTTCCTACTAGCGCGCAAAACATTCCCAGGCGCATTAGTTGAAAGCGCCGTACTCTAAACGGTACTCAAATCGAAATTCTTGGAAGTCTTGAGCTTTACGAAACGGGAGACAGTGGTAGATAGGGGAAACAAGGATCTACCTTTAACAATAAGAAATTGAATTCAATAGACGGATCCATAGGTAGTAGGCACATCAGTTATAATCCAGTAAACATTGGATACCATTCAAAAAGTGAAGCGGCCATCCGGAACTATGCATTGTTTGTATCACGTGATCACCTAATAATGGAGGGTTCGTTGGACGACAGCTCCAGACTTTTGCACATGCACACACATAGTTCATAAAGACTTTTTGCAGGCCTCGATAGCAATAGTACCAGGCGGCTAGGCTGCATGTGTTATCCTGGAATGGCGTATCCATCATGCGGTTAGGAAAAAATGTTACAAATTGCATAAAATTCCCGTTTCAGATATTTCACCAACATGAGCGAGATACAGCAGATATGAACGGTTACTACCATACGCCCTACTTCACAAATCTGTTATAAGATAATGCATGTATGCGGGACCACTCTTCTAAGGAAAATCGATCTACATAAGCAACGCATGTTGTCATGCGGAGATCAAAAGACAATAATTTTGGCCGGGTCATTCGATAACCGGAAATAGAACCACTTCCAATCCGGCAGGTAGTGCGACGCTCAGATGCGGGAATTAGCTATCTTCACCTATTCAGGAACCCAAGTCAGCGTGTATGGCCTTCCAGATGGAGACCACCAGCCTTCGGCCTTCTGAGACGTCTCTTCAAAAGACCCCAACTGATTGTATTAATTACATAGTTGATGGCTAGAAATAAAAGAGCCGAGTATTTGCACATTAAGTGAACGCGAAACTAAAATTACCAAGATGTATAGAACGCGTCAGCTGGTCTAGAACGGATTCACTGTCAGTTTTAAGTAGGAACTCGTTTACGAGACGTTTTTTCATGGAGCAACCCCGGAATAGATAGCATATAACTCAATTGGGATAACCCGATCGATTTTAACCAGAACAACGTCTAATTCTATCGTATAAATACAGCAACGACAGGACAATTGTTAACTCGCTGGTTCTAAATTATCAATGTCATATTTGGTGCTCACTCTACTCGGCACTGCCTATGTTTAACTTCGAGCGCATTGAACGCACCGGAAGGCCAAAATGAGTGGAGGCGAAGTTCACACCATGAGCTTGCGCAGAAACAAGCAGAAATGAAGTCTTGGATAAACTTAAGTTACGGAGGGGTACTGGAAGTATAGTGGTGTTATTTGTATCAATTTTTGCATCGACTTTTTCTTTGGTTCTTTTCTGGGTCCCGTTAGATCACAAACAGAACCCGTAATCGGAGGGAGAAAGAGAAAGGCCGAGAGGATTTTTCTCCGTGGTTGCCTACTTTGGGTTGGAAGTTATCGTCGATGATGACGAATGTTGGCTGAACGGTCCTGCAATGGCAGCGAAGCATCAATGTTGAACATTGATGTCATACTACCCATGATGATGATGATCATGACGCACAACTGAGTGTGATCCATAGATCTTCACTGTCAGAAAAGCAACAAGCCACTTCATAAGCCTGCTCATTATTAGAGTTGGGAGAAGAAACGAATAAATGAAGGTAGCGTGTGTGTTGGCTACCTTCAATGTATCACCGACGAGCCATTTCATCATGCAAACAAGAACACGAATGGTCGTGGCTCCTTGAAGTGCAGCCCTTAGCACAATGGTGTGGGGATTCCGGAGCCAGTTAGCTCGTTTTATGCGTGAACGGTCCGTGACCAAGATTCGACCACGATGTAGATGCCGCTTTTTAACAAAACGCCGAAACCAGCCCACGGTAGCTGCTCCCATCGACATTTGCGCCTGTCCCGACTATGGGTGTGGTCAGTGGATGGGGAACGAGAGTGGCGATGATGCAAAGTCGGGGCGCAAATGAGTTGGAACTCTACGCGTATTCGTGTGCTGCCACATACGTTCAACAAAAAGTCCTTGTTAACGGAAACGATTATCTGTCAATCTTCATTCGATAATCGATTAACACCGTTGGATTTGCATCAAGTATGCGTGATAACATGTGGATAGCATTTCGTTCACAGTGAGACACATCTGTCACCGTCAACATCGCGAAAGTCATTGAACCACTTTGTCAGTCAGAGACTGATTACGTGATGGTCTTGTGGTTCAGGGTATCACAACAATATGTGGTGAATTGGAAGCGGAGATCAACCGGCAGTAAGCTGCTGGCAGATCCAACTTTCGACCCCAAACCCCGTATCATATGAGCCAGTAAGCGTAAGCTTCTTATTCTGTTTATATGTATGAATACGCTTTTTGACAAGTGTAGCGTGGAGGTCGAAGGTAGGAAGTAGACCTGAGCGGGAAGAGTTCCGCAACTCAGCCATTTCAAACCCACCACTCATTGCATGAGGTAGCAGTCGGACAGTGATATAACACTCTGACAGGGTCCGCTTTGTGTGCGGGACCAATAAGCTTTAGTGAACTGATAATTCGTTTTGGCGAACGACACTGGCAGCTGACACCATTGCTATTTTGAAGGGTGTGTTGACCTGTTTAGTCGAGTAGATGTTGACTCAGAGAGACTCAGCGCGTTCGGAGAGCATAAGCCCGCACAAACAGGCCCCATAACAGCCTGTCTTCTCAGATTATCTCCTCTAGTCGGTCCTGAGGGGTGTTTTTTCAGCGGTGAGTGGCCACCTTTTGGTCAACAACAGTGAACACTACCGTCAGACAGGTGTGACCTCTCCATCGACGTCATTAATGAACGAACGTAAATTTGACACGGATCTGCACCACTCTCCCTAGGGAACTGAGAATCACCATCAACATCGAAAGTATGACATCAGTGTCCAACACCGATGCTTCGCTGCCGTACAACCATGATTTACTTGAAAGCCTGATTACGAAGAATCGTCCTGGATGCATTTGGTAGTGTCAGTTTCCGAGTGGACAGCTCAGTGGTTAGAGCATGAGTTTAGTGAAGGAAAGGTTCGTGGTTCGAACCCAACCTCCGCATCTCGACTTCGTCTGTCTAGGCTCGGGTAACCTGGCAGTATCCCAGTCCTCGTGCTTCCTTCAGGTTGGATGGCAGCTACGCACAGCACATTATAACATACTGTCCTTCAGTATAGCATGGTGTAAAATAGTATTGTACAGTAGTATCATAGTGGTGTAACAGTGTGATACAACGTAGTGTATAATATGGAATAATATAACTAATCATAAAGTACGAGGACTGAGGTACTGTAAGGTTAACCAAGCCTGGACACGAGCAATCAAAAAGCCAAGGTCGGAAATCCTGGTCACTTGCTTCGTGCTCTAATCATTGAGCTATCACAAGCTCAAAGTACATTACAATACGACACAGTAGAGTACAGCACCGTATAGTGCAGTATAGTATAGTACATAATATGAAAAACCGAACAGAAAGCGTAAAAAACTGAAAAATAACCCAGTGAGTTTGTTTTGGAGACTGTCTCGGAAGGTCTTTGAAAATTTCTGAGTTGGTGAATATTCTTCAGGGTATAAAGAGACACAAGAAACTTCAACTGACCGAAGGATCCAATTCACATACTACTTAGTTGGTCTGTGTGGAATGGGGGTCGCAAATCAGACTGTCCTGTTCTCTCGTGGAAAACATAGTTGTATTGGTGTAAACGAGAAAATACGGAACATGGGGTAGAAGAAACAGAAGAACCGAGCAGAGCCTTTCAATCTTCCTTTAGGTGCCACGCTTGCCCCCCTCTGATAATATCAAGTACACAACCAACCAGGACAGTGTGTCAACATAACGGAACTGAATGAACTCTGATGGCCGGTTGACCGTACAAACAATAAATGAGCGCGTAAACAGTTGGCAACATTGCAAACATGTGCGTGCACGAGGACCACACGTGAAGGGTCCGCGTTCTCCCCCCCCCCTCCTCCACAAAAACACACTAGCTCGACCAACAATCCAATCATAATGTTTACTCACTTGCAGGTGCAATTCCTTCTCTTTGCGGGCCATCTCATAGTACTTGGCTTGTTTCTCTCGCGGCAGTTCATGCCACTTTCGACCAAGAATCTGATTGATAGCCGCCGATTCCTTCAGCGTACACTCCTCCTGGACCCGAGGTCGCATGTCTTTCATAAACAGCATAAAGGCATTCAGTGGCTTTTTGATATGTACTCGTTTCGAGCCCGTGTTAGGCGTGGTGTTGGGTGGAGACGTACCTAATCGATCGTTGGAGGCGTCCGGAGGATGGTGCCTATTAGTTGTGATGGTGTTTGTAGCATGGGAGGTGGGGGAATCGGCTTTGTTGATGCGACGGACCGCGACAGCAGACGATTTGTTCATATCTGATTTGACCGTAAGTGTGCCCGTGGTGGCGCATGTGGACGATGAACTAAAGGGACTGCCACGGTGGGCATTGGTTGTTCTTCCGCCAACGAGTGCTTTTGAAGGTGGTGTACAGTTCCGCTTGAATCGGAAATTCACGCCATTCGAATTCCACATACTGGAAATGCTAGTGGAAAGCGGATGTGTAAAAGTTAGGGGAAACGAACAGAAGTGGTGACAAGAGGTTGGTCATAACGAGCTATGTGAGGCCCAAGAGCGACGAGGTGGAAACGCGGATTACAGAAGGCCTTAACGTATCAGTTAAGTGTTACGGAACATTGCTGGAAACGACAGAGAACGTCACTAGCGAAAACAATTTCAAAACTCAACAAAACGGGTGGGAGCACAGATTTGCTTCTGGTGGATGACCCAGGCACGATGCGGATTGGATTGGCTGATATTCTGTACACCTATGGCTTCCGCCATTGAGATGTAGAAATGGTTTTTGAAGGAGACTGAAACCTGGATATAGCTGAAAGGAGCAGGTCTTGACCCGTAAATGCGCATACGAGTCTAATCAAAGAACAAAAGTGAGAATGTCAGAATGTATCTGATTCTGTGGTCAATTAATGACTGTTTTAAGTAGTACTCGTTTGCTAAAAAACTCCCCAAAGACATTGGTTCAAGTAGCTTCGAAAAAAACCAACCAATCACGGGCGAGTTAGTTGGAGTACTTGGTAGGTCCGAAAAATACTGTCCCTATGTGTAATAAATAAACCTTAGAAGTCAAATCCGTCGACAATCACCTGACAGTGAAAGTGTCAAGATAAGCTTTGTCCAACGGAATGCATTGAGTAGCTCGGAGTGTCAACATCGAAATACAGTGTGCTGGATGGTTGCGAAATTGCGCAAAGGAGTAAGCAAGCAACAACAAAAAAGATTTGTGCTTTGAGTTCACCAACCTCATCCAAACCTGTGTAGACTGGTAGTATTTCAATACCCATGCTGCTTCAAATTTGTGTAACACCTATTTACCAGCTATTATATATATACATATAGTATATATATATATATATGGTGACCCGAACTAGCTGTTCTTTGATAGATAGCCAATGCCGTCTCTCACTCGATTTCCAGTTCATGTACATCATTCTCATCCAAATATTTTGAACACTGTTCTCTTAACCGTTGCAACTGTATGACTTGAAGAGACATTGTCAAAAACATGTTCGTCAACCAATCTGTTTTTATTCAGAATGGGAATTTTCGGAATACAGTAAAGCCGGCCGCGTTAGTTGGGCCTGTTACGAGTTGTCAGAATACAGTGTAACAGCGGCTGATTCCTGTGCGGCGATATGCCGGCAGTCCCAGATCTCAACCGTCCATGCCCGACGTTCGGACACAAGATCAGAACAGAGGCAACGCAAAATTGCTTCAAGCGAAGTATGAGGTGTGCTAATTCGAGATCAAGACCTCCGGGTACGGGGTACAGTCATCGGGTTTTCTGAGACATTGCTCGGTGAAAAGACATCACTAGAGTGTTTAAAACTGAATATTCAAGTACCCGACGGGATCGGTGGGTCCTCTCAGCACACAGTGTTTGTTCGAATCAAACACACGCGTACTAGTTTGGGCTGTGTCAAAATCATCCAAACACTGCGCAGAAGGCTCTTCGGAATTCCCAAAAGTAGGTTAATCTATATGCGAGTCCAGGTGACATCATCAGCGCATAGCAGTATACTTCGTCATTCATGCGACTGGCTATGATCAATACTCACACCCCTGGTCCAGTTAGCACAGCGAACGGCTACACAGGCACAACAATTATCAAATCGTATAGGCTGAATCAGCAGAACCCGACTATGCACTGACGGTGTTAACACGACTGGTAACGAACTGCCGGCAAAAAGTATCGAGCACGGCCACACATGGTCACACGATCGAATGATCACATACATTGGTATTGTGCGGTGGGGACCATGTTAACTAACATAGTAGTGAGGATTTGAAAGGTACAAGACACCCTGGTTTTCACGAGAGACTCAACTGAATCTCTCGTTTATGGTGTTCTACTACTGAATGTGCTGCACACAGGCCGCCTCATGTTTCAGTTGGTACGATATTCGAGATATCGCAGTAGAACATAAGGTTGATGGAAACTCGGGGACTGCGCCTACCTGGTGAGCCCCAAGAAGGGCGAAACCGGTCGTGAGCTGTCGAAGAGTTTCCAGCAACCTTGTGAGCAGTTTCCTTCGTGAGAAAGTACAAGATACCTCATTTTCGCTCGTTTGTTGCCAGATTAAACGGTGAACAGTATTTTCGTAGAAAGTTTGCGTGAGAACAAACACAGGCAACATCACAGACATACTGGACTCGAACTGGGACCAATGAATGGTATTGCAGTCCAACCCATTTAACTATCGCGACAAGATTACTGGGCGTGCAGAGTAGGGGCTAATCCTGAGAAACTAGTATTCACTTGCTTGTTGTTAAGTCTAAAGTGATCGGCCTCTTGGTGCTCACTGGTTTCCATGCAGGCAAATATCACTTACAACACCGCGCCCAAAGTAACATAAGTGGGGCGCGTGTTATACACAGTTATGCACCTGCGACGGTTGACCATCCTAAGCCCTATGTAAAGCGTATTGAGGATGTCCTTAAGCATCTAGTCTGTAGACCTACACCATAGAAATCTAAAGTGGCAAACGACTTACGGCGCGGCCTAGTCTAGCCAAATGGGCGGATGGATGACGATACGAGCTAGAAAGGTGTGTGCGCAGCGGTGACAATGAGTTAACCTAAATTGTCTGGACTGTGATAACACCACACAAAATGGCTTTGTTGCATGCATGCAGGCATTTAAGCATGTATCCCACAGACAACATTCAATCATTCATTCTTATGTAAGTGTGTCTTCAGTTACTTTCCTAATCATAACACAACAGATCCCTGAGGTTGAACGGATGTACTGCAGTACACCGTAAATGCGGAGGAACGATTAGTCAAAGGTGTGTGGGCGATTGGATAAGCAGGTGGATTAAACACTACATTATGTAGTTATTCACTAAGGCAGCCGGTCAATCTGTCGATCGATCACAAGCGGACTGCCGCCATAAATACTCCAAATGATAATCTAATACACTACTCGTGAGGTTGCTGAAAATTTTTCGACAGAACACGACCGGTTTCGCACTTCTTGGGAATCGTCAGGTAGACGCATTCCCCGAGTTTTCGTCAACCTTATTTTCTAATTGAACCCAAAATGCATGAAATAAGTGAAATACACTCAATTGCAAAAATGTTTGGTTATGCGAGAGGTTCACCTGGAACCCAGCAACCGTATGAGCAGTGTAATGCGTCCATACATGTATCCAAAATAATAAAAAAACAAATCGCTCAGCTACAACACCCTTCCGATGTCTAGTTGCCATGCCACCCGAAGGAAGCACGAGTGCTGGGATACTGCCAGGTTGCCCAAGCCTAGAGAGGGGAAGTCGAGAGGCACAGGTCGGGTTCGAACCACGGACCTAACCACTTGGGCCATCTCGCCCATGTATCACGATATCTCGAATATCGTACCAACCGAAACATGAGGCGACCTCTCTTACCCAATCCCATATAAGAAACAACGTCTTGTCCTTCCGGTTATCGCTTAGTTGGAGGTTCACCCGCACCGCAGCCAGAATCAAACAAGGCTAAGAGCAACCTACCTAATAATCACCAAACAGTGAGATATGCAAGGTGAAACGATATCGAAGTATTCTCCTTAATTGAACGCCAAAAACTAGTCGGAGAGCCCCCAGCAACCTTTGATTAAAGAAAAATTCGAAGGGCACTGCGTTTCAAGGTAGAAGACTGAATGCCAGACTATACAGTAGTGCTATTCTACGGTGAAGGCTGGAATGACTGCTTGCTCGAATAAGGTAAATGAGACAAGTTGTAACGCTTCGAAGAGCTTGTCCGAAAGTGTCTTATATAGCGGTGGCTTACAAAAGACGAACAAGGTAGTTAGTCTAGCCCCCACTTTTGGGACGTGTAAGCCTAGTCTACGATAGTCACACCAGTGCCGACGAAAATAGGTCACTACACAGGAGGACCACCGCTGTAGAGACTTTGCTCGCTTGTAAGGAAACAGAAATGCTTGATCTTCCAGGGATCTCCGATCCTACTGAACTGCACGAGCCAGACGACTTCTGGTAGGACTGTTCTTAATTTGGATGCAGCAACACTGTGGAAAACCCCACAGCTGCTCCATTGGTGGTCCAGTCCGAGCATGAATTACGACCGCGACACTGGGACACAGAGGATGCGCAAGCCAGCGAGGCCGCTGCGAGTGAAATCCCAACACCGGGGTCACGTCAACAAACTTCAAACCAAAGCCGCTTTACCACTCGCATTCACGTGCTGCTACGACCGAGAAGCCTCGACCGCACACTATCGGCCATAAGATCCGGCCGCATGAAGGCGACCTCTGATTGGCCGAAAGGGTGGACCCAACAGCCAATCATGGTTCAGTATTCGCCGAATGCCGGTTGCCAATGCTGCGTACAGGAAGCGTCCGAATATCCAGAAAGTTGTCACCGCATACACTTCAAAAATAACGTGCTGTACATGTGCTTTTATTCGTTTTTGGGCGTCCAATACACTTTGTGCAGGTTGTTTTGCCAAAAAGTTAGTTTGGGGGAATGGGACCCAAAACTGAGCTGAGGCTTCATCGTTATTACACCATTGAATCGCAGGGGGTTCGGTTGCCAATCATCGCCTGTGGTTTGCTTCACAAATTTAAGTTTACCCATACACTGCAGAGCAGGAGGGTGTGTTCACATGAAATTTACAAAACCATGTTTCTCAGAGGATAGATATCTAATTGATTTCCATTGTCTATCGTTACTACATGTTTTAGCCGCTCATTCTGTCATAGTCAGGGAAACAAACACACTACAAAGGAAATCAAGCAGTATTTTACTTACAACAGCTACCCAATATAAATCGGATGTACAAGACGATCGATCCTGAGGGAAATAACTTCAGAACATGGGGAAATATATATATATATATTTTTAAAAAAACTCACGAATCTGCACGAGCTTTGGGCACGCCACTTGCCGCTGAATCCATCTGAGTTGTCGGCTCATCCAAACTAGCCAATTCTTTGCGTGTACGAAAGCCATTATTGGGGAAAAGTAATCGATCAGCCGGGGATGAGGCTGGTCGTTCCAGCTTCGAATCGTGATAGTCGTTATTTTCACCGTCCATCTCGTCCGACATGTGGGAGGAGAGAAAATCGGTGGAGTCTGGCACTACCCGACTGAACGCGGGTGAAGAGGCTCCGGAGAGGGTGGAGAAGCGCTGTCTGTTGGATGGGGGAGTTTGTGCTGCCGCCACGGCGGCCAAGCTGGACAGGATGTGAACATGAGCTGCAGCGGCTGCAGCGGCAGCTGCCGCGGCCGCGGCGCGTTGCGAACAGTCAGTGATAGACCTGTGGAATGGGGCGAGGACACAGTGCTTACAACATCTTCAACAGGGTTATAGGGAAGGTGGTTTGTGGCCCTAAAACGTGTTTGAACCTGAGCATCTATCTGTCACCTGTAGTTGGCACAGAGCGGGTACACAGATATGGCGTGCGCAGGATCACTGTTAGTTTGCACGACCTCACTACCCTCACCAGTCTAAGCAATCGCCCAAGAACGTAGGATACCACACCTTGGTAGACAAGCGAAGGATGGAACATCACGAGTCCACCTTGCCATACATCAAATATGAATAGGAGTACAAACAACGAACAGACAAGCTGAGATTCATGCTCCAATTGCATGACAGTCTTTTGTCGCTCTGGTTTGACTAAATAGTCAAGTCAAACTTCAACGCAAATCCAGCTTGAGCAGAAGGAAAACTGAATGGTACGGAGAACTCCACTCGTGTTCCACGAAAGTTTACAAAAAAGTGAATCCCTCTGACATCTAGGACATGTTCAAACACGAAAGAAACCATCGACAAAGAACCAGTGATTTTGGATAATCAACTCAGCCCAATCAGAACTGACTTCTAAGCTAGGTCTTTTTGCCAGTATTACAGAAAAATCCGATCCACCCCTCAAGGAAGCACTCCCTACTGTATTATTCACTTGATGGTTCCACATCAGAATTTCGAGTCACGTAGTTCGGCTGAGCACTCTAAGAAATTCAAGCGAATTAAAAAGTACATCATTCGACCGTAACACCCCTTTGCTGCCTAGCTGTCACACTACCCGAAGGAAGCATGATGCCTGGGATATTGCCAGAAGTCGAAGATGGAAAGGTAGGGTTAGAACCACAGGCCTTCGGGTCAGTAAATTCGCGCTCGAAGCACCGAGTCATAACGATCCATTCAAGGGAATTGCATTTTCTGTGCCCTTAGACTTCTCGTCATTAACCTCGGCTCTGTTTGACTCGGTTTGGCCTACTTGATAAGATCAATCTCGCTGAGCGCCCGTTATGAATTGAAGAATTGGCGTAGAGCCCACTGTTGTTCAGAGCACGCCCTCACCTTTGCAACACTATCAGTAGATGTCGGTCAAGCAACATTGTATCGAACCTTTATCATTTTTCCACGTAAGCAATCTCCTTCCCCCATCTCATTTACTTTTCTCATCAAGTGATTGCACCCTCATTATCTTAACATGGTTGCGGATATTGGCGATGAAAAGAATATCCCGAGGATACCGACTGCCTAAAAGCCTGACTAAGTGTCCATCTCTCCGAGCTACCGATGAACGCGTACTAAGTGAGAGCTCTATTCCCGGAGTTTCATAACCAAAAAAGAATATGAGGATTTCTTACGCGTAGACAAGTGAAGTCGAGTGACATGCCCATTCAATCACATAAATTATTGGATTTCAACGGCATGAGGACCGACGAGATAATAAATGCCCCCACTCCAGGTCCGTTGGACTTGACGCCACCGCGAAATGGAAGTAAATTCCAAAATAAATTCCAAGTCCAGTATCAGGTGCGACCCGAATGGTTGTCAGGGTGCTGAATGTGCTAGTGTATCGAATCAACAGGTCCAGCGCAGGTAAGCACGCTGGGATTCACTATTGTTAATGCTGCCAATCTAACAGGAATGGGAAATCTGTAAGCAGATGGATGCCAACCGCACAGCTTGGTGATATCCGCTCGCTACTGGAAGTGTAGAAATGACCACATGCAGTATGCGAGGTCCGATAGTTGAATGTGATGTGGTGCGCACGTATCAATGGGAAAATCTGAAACGCGACGGGGGAGCAGTCGAGCTGAAATGCACGCAACTGTTAGGAATTGATGACATTATTGAAAAACGAAACAAGCTGTCCGAATACGCTCGATACATAGTGGAAACCGTTGCCTCTGTTCTCAAGAACCGCAGACAACATGAAATGTTAAAATAAGGGTCTGGATGTGACAGCAAAATGATATAGAAGTGGCAACGTGCTGATGGTGATGAAAAAAATACGATAACAAACCACTCACGTTTGATTCAAGGGTGAGCTTGCGAACGTGTCTTTGGGCGCGTATGAAACAGGTGTTGAAAAGTCAGACACGAGTGGGCTAGCTAAAGTCGACAACGCGTGAATGCTGGCCTGCGATGACCTGTGATTAGTGACGGAGGCGGCGACGCCATCTGGGTCATTCGTACTCACAACCAGATTGCTTGAATTGGCTAGGCAACCTCGCCAGACCGCCGCAGCTGCTGCAGCCGCCAACTCATCGGCTTCTGTGACTGCTCGTACTCTGCGAAATCGATCAGAGTCCACAGGTTTAACATCCGAAGCAATATCATTTTTGGCCGACGAGTACAGTGAGGGAGACGTTTTCAAAGCGAACTCTGTCCAATTCTCCAAGAACGGGAGTGTAGAGTTTTGAAAAGCATCGAATGCCGAAGCTGTCGTAGGTGTCCCCAAGCCGGCACAACTACCTGGAAGGGCCGATGAAACTTGTGCTAGACTAGTTGGATTAGTTTCCGAGCGACGCTGGGAACCGGCAGCTTTGAAGCCGTATAGGTCTGAAAGGACAAAGCGGAACATCGATCGGATCATCCAAGTGAAAATGGTTTGGTTGTGAACAGCGTCTTGACTGCAAACGATACAGCGACTGGATGATAAAGATACACGCAAACATACTAAACTTGGCTGGAAAGTTGAGGTCAAGTGAAAGTAGTTATCCGACAGTTGTACTGACAAACAGATTTCTGCAGGACGTGATAAAAATGACGACGGTGATGAAAGCGAAAACGCCGGATACCTCAATTTGGGAAAATAAGCTCAGAAAACCATCAGATTGCGATCAGTAGGCCACTGATATCTGTGCGCCTAGACCGAAGAGAACGGAGCACGCCGAGGCCTGGTTGAACTTGTGCAAATGTAGTCCAGGTATAGTGAGGTGCCTTTTTACAGTCATCCGTTGATCATGTATGAATGTGCTGTGCGTGCGTATGTGGATTTTGAAAAAAAAAGCCGTTTAAAATTGGATCACAGGTGTTACAAATCGTTTTGAACGCCGCCATCACCACTAAACGCAAGTGAGAGGTTACGCCTGCGAAATAATGGATGACCTATTTTGTGAACAAAGCGTTTGAGTTGAAAATTCACGCTGGAATCCTGTGAGTTTGTGTACATCACAGAGAAGTCACGCATATAAGAAACCGATGTGTCGACGAGAAGCTTTGGTCGCTTGATGATTCGCTAAACAATTGCACACAAACTGCTCGACACATCCAGATGGGTTACATTTGCGAAAAAAATTATCTAATCGTACACCTCACTGATCCTTTGTACGGAATGCCTGTTTCAAAGGCATCTAAAGTACGCCTCTGAAGTATGCTAAAGTGGGTCTCCTGTGCGCATCAACTAATCTTCACAGCTCATATTAATGTGAATTCGGACGTAATCTGTCGGTGTCGTCGACTCGAAACTGTTAACTGAACACCTAAATCGGAACAGTGCACGGAACAATGCACGTTGAGCTGCTCCGTGGTGTCGCATGCACTTTCGTAGCGCCCAATAATGGCAACACGAATGTGCATCTGGCACATCCGAACCCAGATTCGATTTTGCTGCGCAGGCAACTGCACTTACACATAGCAGGAAAGTGTGCGTGGACGGTGCGACGACAGCAATCAGCTTCGGAATGACCGGTTGTAGCCGGTTGTAACAGGCGGATCTTGGTGTGCCCGAAGGAACATAGTACTTGTTGTCTGGCCTAACAGAGATATAGGATGCAAGATAACCCCTATTGCCGTAACCCCCTCATATGAGTAGATGTCACTTCAACTAATCGTATAAGCATGCCACAGGCCTACATGCGAATACCAGAGTTAGTTTGGCGCACAGTGTGTGCTCTCAAATCAAGTTTGTGCATGACGGACTGTGCTTACTAAAAAAGGCAAGTTTTCTGAAGACTCTCTATATATGGTGTCATCTCATTCCGGCATTCATTCAGTGAACATCGGAGCTGCAACAGTTTACGAAATGTCTCACACCGTGCCTCAGAGAGAGAGAGAGAGAACATGACCTGTAGGTTGTGGGGTGACCTATTCTGTTTAGCATGACTTAGTGCGAAATCCTCCAGAATATAGATCATCAATACTCCATTTCCCCGTAGAGACATGCCTGAGGGATTTACTTCGAGCTGAAGCTGGAAAGACAAGCCTACTACTGACTGCATCTCCGGCATTGGTACTGTTCTTTATTCAAGTCAAAACAAACTTCCACTTGCCGAAATGGGTACCTCAAACTCTTCAAGAGCCCTCACAGCTTAGTAGCTGTAATCTGACACACATCCTAAAAGATTAGTTACTAAGTTGGGTACGCCAGTTTTGTGGACATTCGTTCATTTCGCTCTGCAACCGAAAGTCACGTTGTACTTTTATTCGTGCTATGGTGATTTCAATCTGTCAGAGCATCATCATCGTCAACATCATCAAAGACATCAACATCAGTGTTGGCACTGGTGCTTCACTGCCGTACAACCATAAGGTTTGTCTAGTTATATATATATATATATATATATATATATATA